ACAGGATAGAGCAGGGTTTAGGGCTGTTGTACATAGGGTTGCTATAAGTCGCAAACGACTCGATAGCACATAATAACAACAAGAAGTTCTATTTATTCTTGAGAGTGGTGTGGTGAAGTCTCTAACTACTATAGTGATATTGTCTATTTCTTTTTTAGTTTTATTAATGTTTGCTTTATTATTTGATGCATGTTGTTGTTGTTGTACTTGATTGCCTTCAAGTCAAGCACAACTTCCAGTGACTCTATGAACAAAAGGCCTGAAGCCCCTCTGCAACTAGTAACATTTCTAAAAGTTCATAGTTTCTGGAGGCATGTTGTTTAGAAAGTGGATGCCACTCCTGCTTCCAAAATTTTATACATAGATATTTATTATTAATATATGCTCTTGGTCTAGTGACCCTTTCAGCATTATATAATGACCTTCCTTCTCCTTTGTGATGGTTTTGGTATTGAGATCTTTTTTATCAGAGATTATTCCTCCCTTTTCACTGATTACCATTTGGTTGGTATATTTTTTCCCACTCTTTTAAGTCTTTCTCTTTCTTCAGTTCTCAGGTTTGTCACTTATAGACAGCATATGGATGGACTTTTTTTATTTATCCAATCTGCTACTCATTTTCTCTTCAGTGGTGCATTTAACCCATTCACGTTTAGTGGTTTTATTGAAAGGCAGGGATTTATTGCTGTCATTTTGTTGAGTTCTTTTTGGTGTTTTTGCTGGTTATTTTGGTCCTTCCTGATTTCTGTGTTACCTCTGTAAGAAGGATGTCTCTTAGTGTTTCCTGCAATGCTGTTCCTTTTTTATATGAATTCAATTAGATTCTGTTTTCCTGAGACTATCTTGGATTCTCCTTCATATTTGATGAGCAGTTTTGCTAAGCACAGTATTCTTGGTTGACAGGTATGTTCTCTTAGTCTTTAATGTATGTCATTCCACTGTCTTTATTCACGTGGTCTCTGCTGAGAAATTCGCATTTTATCTTATTTGCTTTCCCTTTTAGGTAACTCTTTGTTTCTCTCTTTCTGCTTTCATAATTCTCTCCTTATCTTTGGTTCTGGCAAATTTGACTATGATATGCCTTGGTAGTTTTCTTTTATGGTCTATTCTATACAGTGTATATGTAGCTTCTTGGGTATATATTCTCTCATTCTTCACTATGCCTGCAAAGTTTTCTTCTAATAATTCTTCCACAACTTTGTGGTGCCTTTACTTCTTCCTGTTCTTGGATTCTGATTATGCATTTGATATTCCTCTTGATTGTATCCCTTATTATACTCAGGCTTTCTTCTTTTTTTTCCTTTTTCATTCTGCTTTTGGTTCTAGAAGATCATTGGTGACAATTCAGTCTTCCATTTCACTGTTTCTGTGTTGCATCTCCACAACTCTATATATATGTCCCTCCAGCATGTTGGCAGCATCTGAAACATTGCTCTTTATATTCTGAATTGTGATTTCTTTTTTTTTTTGTTTGTTTATTTTTCAGAGCCTCTAATGCCTCATTTGTGTTATTTTAATTGTCTTGAATTGGTTTGTTTATTTTTAAGTTCCTCTTGGTTTTTGCTTATAGAGTCCTGTAATTTTTCAGGTTTGTCTTTTACTCATTGAAAATATTCAATCATTGTTCTTTTGAATTCATGGAGGATGATATCTTGTTTTGGGGTTGTATAGGGTGTGAGGTAGTTTGCTTCTTTTGTGACATTGCTGTGGTAGAGTTTTTCATGCCTGATTCCTTAACAGACTCTTGGTCTGAAAACCTTTGCTTAGGAATTCACTGCTCCAGAGGAAGGCAGGGCAGCTACCCTGTCAGAGTTTCTCTCTGAACATTTGACTCAAGGAAAGACTTGCTTCGGTTCGGGAGAGATATGGTCTGTGAATTAGCTCCCTTCTCTGTCATGTTACTGCTGTGACAAGCCCAGTCCAAAGTGCCTGCGGCTAAAGGTAGCTCAAGCTCTTAAAAGGGGGAGAACCTGAGTTCACCTTTGATACTGGTGTCCATGGTAAAGTTCAGAGTGGTGGCATTGGCTTGTCCTCTAGGCGCTGGGGCTAGGGCATCCAGGCAGAGGGATGGGGGTAAGGGATAGCACCAAGTAGTAGCCACGTTTTAGTGCTCCAGGAAGGAAAGCAGTCCAGGCCACAGTAAGAAATTTTTAAGACAGGTACCTACTTAATCAACTGGAACAAACACACCAGGGATTAGTTCTTAACTGCTGTGGTTGTACATTGTCAGGTATGTGTAACTTGATCAGGAGTGTCTTTATACATACACAGACATGCATGTAGAAACCTATAGAAAAATCACTAGGCAATCTAAAACAAATAGCTTAAAATAACTTTGACTTTGCAAAAAGCATTCAATGCCAAAGTAAAAATACACTAGTTTCCACTTTGGTTCTAAATAATTAGATCGTATTTCTGTCATCTAATTTTTCAAAGTAAATTTTAAATACAATTACTGAATCATATGACGGTAATTATTTTCCCCTGTCCTACTATATAATGCAGAGGAAAGTCTCAATGTTCATGTTTGTTAATCTAAGAGGTAGAGATAAAATTGAACATAAAAATATATAAACTTTTCTGCTTTTTAAAAAAATCCATGAATTATTAGTAAAGATAAATGAAGTTTTCTACCTTTATCAAATTCTTTGCTAAAGCATTATCATTACAAGGAGATGATTTGAAAGTAAAATCTGAATTTTCTTTTCTAAATAAGGTAATTATATGGACATGTATACATAAATATAACATTCTTCACATTTGTGTTATGATTTTAACAGGGAAATATAAGTATCTGAAATGAACAGCTCTGGTGGCCTAGTGGCAAGAAGCTGCACTGCAATCCCAAAGGCAAGCAGTTACAGGCCACCAACTGCTCTGTGGGAAAAGGATGAGCAATCTCCTCCTGTGCAATTAACTGTCTCTGAATACCTGCTGGAGAGTCAGTTATGGGTCAGTTCCAACTCTATGGTACACAATAACAACAACAATTCATAAAATAGGTGATATACCAACAGAAAACGAGTGAGGGATTATTTGTTATGGGATTCTTGACTATATGAATTAGATGTAGATATAGAAAGGTCTTTCTTTACAGAAAGGAGCTTAGAGTTGAATGAGGAAGTTGTTAGGTACACTGAATGGGCTCTGACTCATAGCAACTGTATGCACAAAAGGGCCAAACTCTGTCCAGTCATACACCAACGTCACAATCTTCATTGTGCTTAACTAACTAGTATTATAGTTACTATGTCATTCTACCTCTTTGAGGATATTCATTTCTGAACTGACAGTCTCCTTTTCCAAATATAATTCCCTTCTCCAATAACTAGTTCTTACTGAGAAAATACCCAGAGTATGTGAGAAAAAAAATTTCTCCATCCTTTCTTCTAAAGAGCACTCTGGCTGAGTATTTACATACATATGTCAGATGAAAAAGAAACCCTGGTAGTGTAGTGCATTACTCATGGAGTTGTTAGCCAGAAGACCTACAGTTCGAAATCACTTGTTACACTTCAAGGAAAAGATGAAGCTGCCTGCTTCCTTAGTGGTTACAACCATGAGTTGAAATTGGCTGTATGGAATTGTGCCTGGATATGTCTTGGACTGGTCATATGAAAATGTAAATGCAATAAATGTTGTTTGGTGACTCATTAAGATATGAAATAGAATAATTTTTCTGACTCTGTGACTTCTGAACTTTAACTGCACATGCTGGGTTTTATTCTATAGATGGTTACCTGGCTCAATGTGGCAAAGACTGCAGATCATATTGCTGCGATGGGACCACCCCGTACTGCTGCTCCTACTACGCCTACATTGGGAATATCCTCTCGTGAGTAATGATAAATCTGGCAATACTGTTGATCTTTCCCTAGCCCAGTTGTTGTTTGTTTGTTTTTAAAGTACTAAGTTATAGGTACAGACATAAAGATTTTAAGATTGGTTATTGATGTAAGATATATGAAATAATCATCCATATTCAAAATGTTATTTTTTACCTTTGACAAACTGTGCAAAGTAACATAGAAAAGGAAATACTGTGTTTCAAAGGATGTTAAAATAAATTCTAAAAGAAGGATTTTTAAACTGCTTCATTTTCAGGAAGACATTTTCATACATTGATCTTCTCCCCATCCCATATGTTCGTAATTCGTGTTTTTCTATTTTGTTGAAGGATTTGTAAGTCAAAATTTATAATGTAATGGTAGTCAATTTATTTTGCCATCTATATATAAATTTGTATAATGCATTCCTTGCACATCTAGGAAATGAGAAATTGTGAATAAAAACCAGCTGAGAGGTGCAAAGTCATTTGTCTACATAATTCATTTAGAGCAGTTTCTCTGTACTTCAGGAAATAAGTCTAGCACCCAAGAGAAGGTAGGCAGGAACAAAGTAAAATGAGAGTCAAAAGAAAAAAAAAACAATGGCATATGCACTCAGATGTGTTACACAGTTCCCTGGAACAATTAAGAATTTATTCTAGAGGTAAAGGGAGTGAGGAGAGCAAGACGTGCTTTGAGGGTTATACAGCTGGAAAAGATGAACCTCTCAGTTGCTCTAAACAGGCCTATAGGTCAAGAAGATTGAGAAATAAAAGATACAAAATCTGTAACATCAGAATTTTCTAGATCAAAATCATCCCTGAGTTTCAGAAAGCTACAGGGTTCTTGTCTCTCTGTCCTCTTCTGTTTTTTATTTTTCAAGTGAGTATCAAGATGGTTCTGTGGTGCTTTAGTTTACTCTATTGAAACCCTAGGGAGCTCTAATCATCTAGTGTTAAGGAGTTACTCTGCCAATTCAAAGGCACACAATTTGAATCCACCAGCCAGTTTATGGGAGAAAGAGGGACAATCTCTTTTCATGTTACTGCAAACTCTGAAAACCAGCTAGAGGGTCAGCTATGAGTTAATTCCAAGTCAACAGGCACATAGAAACTTAAAAGCTTAAGGGGAAACAGGAAGGATTAAGCACGAAATAGTATGTGCCTGACTATTTTAGGAATATTCCAATTGAGGTGGTTTATAAAGTATTTTCCACTTCCTGAGAAAACCTGCAAACATAGAGTTTCTAAAAGCAAAGTTGGAGCTGATAGTAGATCATGTCTTCCTGAATAAGAGTCTTCAAAACCAATAATCCAAGATATCCTTGAAAACTATCATCAGAATCCCAAGTGATACTATCTATTGATGAATACTTGGACCAGGAGATAGTCATCAGAACAGAGCAAGGAAACACTGCATGGTTCAAAATTGGGAAGGGTGTACTCCAGGAATGTGTCCTATCTCCATACCTTTTCAATCTATATGCAGAACAGATTGTCTGGGAGGCTGGGGTGTATGTGGAGAAATGTGGCGTCAGGACTGGGGGGAAGATTCATCAATAATTTGTGTTATGCAGATGACACAACTCTGCTTGCTAGGGACCTGAAGTGCTTGTTGCAGAAGGTCAAGAACTGCAGCCTTTAATATGGATTGAGGTTCAATATCAAGAAAACCAAGATTCTTACCACTTGGCAGATTAGCAACATCATCATAGATGGTGAGGAGATTGAGATTGTTAACAGCTTTAGTTTGCTTGGCTCCACAATCAACCCTCTTGGCACCAGCAGCCAAGAAATTAAAAAGACGTATTGTGATGGGAAAGTTTGCTGTTAAAGACCTCTCTAAAGTACCGAAGAACAATGATGTCACTCTGGAGACTCGGTGTGCCTGATACAGGCCATGGTCTTTGCAATCACTTGCTATGTGTCAGAGAACTAGACAATGACTAGGAATGATAGAAAGAGAACTGATGCCTTTGAGTTGTGGTGTTGGAGGAGAGTATTGAATATACCATGGACTGCTAAGAAAATGAGCAGGTTTGTCTGGAAGAGGGTTAAATCAGGCTGCACCTTGGAGGCAAGGATTCTGAAACTTCATCTGATATACTTTGGACATGTTGCAAGGACAGACCAGTCCTTGGAGAGGGACTTCATGCTTGGGAGAGTGGAGGGACAGGGCAGGAGAGGAAGACCCCTCTATTGGATTGATTCAGTGACTGGGGTTGTAGGAGTAGGTGTGTCAGAAACAGTGAGATTGGCAAAAGATGGAGCAGTGTTTAAGGTTTTTGTATACAAGGTCACTATAAGTTGCAGGGAGTGTCAGCTGGGTGGGTGATGCAGCCTTGTGAATCTGGAAGAGACAGATGCAGGTGGGGAACACGGAAATATTTGTGGCTTTTATTCTGCTTCAGGTGAGTGGCAGCAGAGTAGAAACCCTATGAACCTGGAGAAAGAATGAAAGTCACACACGCAAGTGTCAAGGACTTTGGTTCATAGGGTTACTATGAGTCGCTTACAACTCGACGGCACTTAACAACATGAGTTGCAGGCAACTCGATGGCACATAACAACAACAAAAACATTTTTAAAAAATTGTGTGCAAGTACCGTTAAATGGTATCTTACTAGTACAGGAGGAGATTGTCCCTCCTTTCTTGAAACGCAAACAAATGTTAAATAGTTTCAATTTCACTTATGGGACAGTTAGTGGAAAAGAGAAGAAATCCTCTTCCTAATTAGAGAATGGTCAGAATGATTTTTAATAGAACTTTATTTGTTCAGAGTAGAATACATATGTGCATACATACGTGCACACACACATAGAGTGTACATCCTATATATGTGGAGTTCATGGGCAATGCAGTTTTCACACTTGGCTGCTAACCAAAATGATGGACTCAAATGCATATACAGGCACATCAGAAGAGAATCCTGGTGATCTTTTATTATCGGCAGGTGCCACTGAGTCAACTTCAACCCATAGCTACTCTATAAACAACAGCTTTGAACTCTATCCTATCCTGCACCATTCTCACAATCCCTGACATGTTAGAGTCCATTGGTATAAACACTGTGTCAGTCATCTTCTCAGGGGTCATTGCAGGCTACTATGCCCTGAGAGGAAGTTCTGGGTTGTTGAAGGCACTCAGACGTCAAGAAAGAGCTTTAGGATTCTTGGGGCAAGGATCCAGCAGGGGGATCCAGTGGACATTGTGCACCCCCCTTTTGCAGTATCCAGGGGCCCTTTTATCCTTGAACAAAGAACCACTTGGTTCTGAAAAAACCCATTAAGAATGACTTAGGGTCATTGAGAGAGGGAGGGGACTCTGTGAATGGAAACGGGGTGGTACTTGGAACATCCTAGCTATGGAAGATTGGGCAGCCCTTCTCTGCAGGTAGAGGTGGGGTCCTAGTACACTTCAGGGGATATAGGACAAGCAGAGGTAGTCAGAGCATATGACCTCAGGAGAGGAAATCCTCAATGTGCAGGTGAGTAAGGTGGAGGAGGTGATATGCTCATCTTACACTTTTGAAAAGTGCCGTGTAATAATTAATGATTTTTGGAACTTAACTAGATGTCTATAAGTGAACAGTGAGTGGATGTATGTGCATGTGTCTATGTGTGTGTGCAAAAACGCTTATGTATATATAGAATTTACTCTAGTAGTCACATCTGTATACAGTTTGGTTCAAATCTACCAATGACCCCACAGGAGAAAGACAATCTTTTCCAATGTGATTTACAGCCTGGGGAATCCAACAGAGGGTTGGTTATGAGTTGGTTACAACTTAATGGCAATGCTATATATATGGAAGCAGGGGTGGCATCCACTTCCATAAATTGCTTGCCTCCGGAAGCCCTATGAACCAGGAGAAAGGATGAAAATCATGCATTCAAGTGTCGAGGACTTTCATTCATAAGGTCGCTATGAGTCACCCATGACTCGACGGCATTTAACAACAACAAATTCAGTAGGAATTTGAGGAATCATTTTTTTACTGTGATATACAATCTACTGGAAGGTAACACTCAAGCGGAAATAAATATCACTAAGTATTTTAAATAGTAGCCACATAATGAGCTCAATACAATAGCAACAAGGGAAAACAAATCCACATACAAGTGGACCTTTGCTATTCAAGAACAACTCTATATATACACACACATATGCGTTAAGTCAGAACCAACTCATAGCTGACACTTCCAGTGGGTTTTCTGAGGCTGTAAACTGCATAGAAAGAGATTGCCCATCTTTCTCTCATGAGCCACTAGTGAATTTGAATGTCAAATGCACTGCCTTTGAGTTAGCAGCACAACTGCTGCTGTTTACACATGCAAATGTACATATGAATATATATGTTGTTTTTATGTGCCATCGAGTTGCCTGGGACTCATAGCAACCCTATGGACAATAGCTCTGAATCCTGCCATATCCTGAGCCAATCTCACTGACTGACACACAGCTAACCCTATTATTCCATTTATTCTGTCAATCCGTCTCATCCCTGGTCTCCCTTTCCTACACTGTCCATCACCCTTCTGAGCATGATGCCCTTCTCCAAGAACTGGTCCCTCCTGACCATGTGCCCAGAGTATGTGAGACAGAGCTTCAAAATCCTTGCCTCCAAAAAGAAACTTAATTTCACCCTCTCCAAGACAGACCTCCTTGTTCTCTTGATGGTCCATGGTATGCTCAATACCCTTCCCCAGCACTGCAATTCAAAGGCATTAATTCTTCTTCTGCCATCCTTAGTCATTGTCCAGGTTTCTGATCCATAGTAAATAATTGATAGACCATGGCCTGGATCAGGAATACCTTAATCTCTAGACCGACATCATTACTCTTTAGTACTTTGGTAGGTCTCTGAGCCTAGATTTCCTTAACGTAATTAGTGTTTTGATTTTCTGACTACTGGTGTCAAGAGTGTTGATTGTGGAGCAGAGTAAGCTGAAATTGTTAGCAACCTCAATTTCTTCTCCATCTATCATAGTGTTAACAATTGACCCAG